CCGGGTGCTTTATCAGGCGTTCCGGCTGAGGGTGCAGTCTGAGCCCCCCGACGTCCGGCCCCAGATGAAGCCTCCCCTTTTCCCGCTCCGTGTCCCCACCTCTCTTCGCTTGTCTTGGAGGTGTCTTTCACCTTGGCCCCCTCCTGTGATCCCCCCTTCATTGGCCCAAGCACGGTTTTGGCCACACTTGTCAGCTGGGTGACAAAGCTGGTCTTATCCCCTGGAGACATGGGGCGAGACTTGCTTGAGCAGGGTGATGTGGGATTCTCCTCCAGGACCTCCAGGTGTACCCTGTCCTCCCTGGCACCGCGGTAGCTGCTGGATACCTTCTCTGCTTTCGACCGGGCAGCAGCTGGGAAATGATTTGCAGTCTGGGTCTGAACCTGGGTTGGAACTGGGGGTGCAGGTCCTTTGACCTTGGCCGTGTCAGGTGCTTTATCACTGCCACTGATGGAAGCTTTCTTTCCCGTCTCTGTGCCTTTATGCAGCTTGGGCTGCTCTGCCGATGATGCTTTCTGCACACTGTCTTTGTCTGCACCTGCAGGGCCTTTCACTTTCTCCTCCGTCGTCTCCTGAGCTTTAGCTGCAGCTCCACCATCTATCTGTGCACCCTGCTCCCTGCTGTCTTGCTGTTCAGGAGCCTTCAATGTTCCTGCAGCTGAGAGTTTCTCACTGGAATTACTCTTGGAAACTTTTGCATCAGAAGTGCTTGCTTTAGGAGGTTTGGCCCCAGGGCTGGGCTCGGTCTCAGTAGCTGATGAAACGAGTGCTGGACTAGGCCTGCTCTCCACTGCGGCTGCACCTGTGTTGCTCTTTAGACCCTTGGTAGCAGATAATGTCTCACTAGTGTCAACAACACTGGTCTTGGAGCCAGCTTCAGAAGCAATGCTCTCAGTTTGCGGCTCGGTGGTCTGGGTATCTTTCTCTTTTACTGTGAGCGCCGTGTCACGGCTGAGCGGTGACTCCTGCCTTCCCAGTCTCCTCACAGGCTTCAGGCCTCCAATCTCCCCTCCCATGGGTGGAGAGGGGGAGGAAGATGAGGAAGGAGATGGTGGGGCAGGTCCATTCTCTCCCTCCATCTCTAGTAGACTCTGCAGGCTGTGCTCGCAGTGGAAAGACTCTCTCCTGTAGTCCCCATGCGCCACCTCCAGGCTATGCTTGCGCAACGTCACTCCACCTGTCAGAGGAGAAGGCGACGACGAGGACGATGATGAGGAAGGCAGAATTGGTGCTCCTAGCTTCTCTGCCGACTGCACTCGCTGCAGCAGGGGGGATCTGGGTGGCTCAGCGCTCTTGGGACGAGGGCGGGCGACAGGTGGTGAGGAATGTAGCTTGGCAGGAAACATCTGCGTGGTGTTGGAGCTCCCTACAGTGTGACCAGTGAGAGGCGGTGGAGATGAGGTGGTCGGGGAGGGAGTGTGAGCCAGGGGCGACAGCGGGATGTTGCCAGCAGATTTGCAGCGTGCAGAGCGGTACTGGCGGTGAAGCTTGGGAGACAGGCCATGCAGCGAGCTGGGCCGCATGTGGTGGGAGGCTGCTGGGGAGTTGGGGGTGCTGGATGCTGGGGAGCTGCTCTGAGAGGAGGTCCCTGTGGAGAGGATGTCAATATTTTATTTCTATGCCATCAGGGATACAGTTTCTCAAAGTAAAATCTGCTGATCCTGTTTCTTTTACCTTCAGATAGTACATATATAGTGTATATGATACTACAAAATTTGGGGTATTTTGTGCAATGTTTTGTTTTATCTCTCTTTTATCTAGCTATTTTTATTGTTGTTACTATTTACTGATTGTATCTTATATCAGGGATGCAAAGTAATTTTGTTGTACTACTGTACAATGACTACTGATGAAGCTACTCTATTCCATTCTATTCTATTCTATTCCATGAGAAATCTACATAATAGAACAGGACACAAGATAGAAAATGGGATGACATAAAATAAAGGATATAGTAAAAAACCTCTTACGTAACTTAGCACACTGTGAAAGTCTTGCTATAGCTGACCTCCAGTGGCCCAGATGTTCAAACTGACAGGGCTCACAGAAATCTGGTTACTATGAGACAGCTAATGCTACAGACTTGCAACTAAGATCAGATTCTAGCTGAAACTCTGCTGACTCAGCAGGTGTCAACAGATTTGACTTCTCTTCAACAGGTACTGAGCTACATCCTGAAGAAAACCATCATTAGTGAAATACCATTTTTGTCGAATAACTCTCAAACTACTAATGATATCAATTCCAAATGCCAGCAGTAGGTTTTCATGGCCGTGGAGTCATAGCATGAGGGTCAGACTATCATGGGAATATTGGTTTAAGGTGGAATGACGACAAGGGGACAGTGAGCTGCCTCGGCCGAGGTCCGTGCACCCTGACGTGCACCCTGACTGCTGCCTAGTTTGTTACTTGAAACCAACGGCACAAACAAACACAGCACAAACCAGGTAAGAAGGGACATGTGCACTCTTGGCCTTTCACACTAACCCAGGTATGGGGATTCCAGCGTGGAGCGGTAACTCTGAGTGGGTGAGCGGGCGGAGAGGCTGTGGGTCGGGGAGCCCGGGAGACTGTCTCCAGACGACAGGGAGCGATTTAAGGACGAGAGGCTGCGGCTGGTGTGGAGCAGGTTGGACTGCTTGGTGATTTTTCTAAAGAGGGAGCTACGCTTCTTGCTGAAAACAAAGAAATCCCACAGTGAGAAGAATAAAAGCTCAAAAACTTGGTCATGAAAAGCATCTATTTTGCAGTAACGCACTCTTGTCCTTCCTTGGTTCCTGTCCTCTTGCTGCGTCGCGCCATCTTGCATTTATAGCTGGACTTGCGGGCAGGACCCACTTTTATAGAGGTATTCTCAAAAGGAGTCGTTGTAACCGTTACCTTGTTTCCGCTCTGTAGAATATGTATTTAAATGCATGTCAGTCATATTATTTTAGAAGCAAATTTCATCTGTACCATCATATAAAAATCTTAGGACGTATATTTCTCCCTCACCTTCAGGATGAGCTCCACCACCTCTGTATGGACCAGACCATGGACTGACTCCCCGTTCACATGGGTGATGAGGTCCCCAGCATTAAGCCCAGCCTCCTGGGCAGGACCTCCATCCTCCACATGCTGTGATTAGAGCACAAGACTTGGTGAAACAAATCGCAAACATGTTTCTATAACGTCTGCTGAGCATATTATAAATGCTGGTGTTCCACAGGGGTCAGTATTGGATTCACTCCTTTACTTATTACACATGGCTGTGATTAGCCAAGTTACATGACAACAGTGTAAAATCTCATAGCTATGAAAACAAAACAGTACATGTACTGTGGACATGTAGTGTAGAGTGTTAACTGGATTACCTGCAAAAAATTAATCTGAGATCTTAAAGGCAAGAAACGGAGAGCACAACACACCCGTTAGCATCGTTGGCTTTTTGTTCCTTTTAGAAAAGATTTTTACATCTTGGCATTTGTTTACAAGGTTCTGAAGGGTTTAGCGTCTCTGGGCTCGACTGTCTCTTCCTCCATTACTTCTCACCTCTGCCTTACTGTTATTACTTACCTCATATACTACTGATGTGTTTTATCAGTAGCATTTGTGTAACCATGTTTTGAAAAGTTTATTATTTTACTGCGTTATTATCCAAAATCACCAACGTCAGAGGTATGAAAATGATGGGCCCTACTTAGTTACTTTTCACCACTGATGATTAACATCATTGGTAGTTGCAGTGGTAGTAATGGTAGTACTCACCCAGACCATGTGATGTACGCTGTAGACATCACTGTCTCCCATGTAGACTCGGATGGCTCGCAGAGTGAAGCCGTACTTCTTCCCGGAGCGATGGATGGTGACCGGCGAATGCAGGACGTTGACTGTGGGAGCGTAGTCTCGGCTGGGAGACGAGTCCCGGGAGGAGGGGTTGGACGACACCGAGCGAGGAGACATGGGGCTCGCCAGAGGGGAGGCACCATGTTGCTCCACTGAAAAGAGGGGTGGACTTAAATTTACATCACAGGATCACACTGATCATTTGCACAAAAAAAAAAAAAGTTTTTATGGTGCACTCAGAGAATATCAGGGACTGGAGCTGGGTTGTTTTGATCAAGTAAGAATAGCTCCACATAATACAGGTAACATACAAACTAGACATTACAGAAAGTTATTTTTTAAAATTGAAGTCTATTTTGTGGCAAACGCAGATGGCTAACAGTCATGAGTATCTTCAAATGGCAGCATTTAGTATCATTTAACACTAAAACAAGCGAGTCCATTAATTATCATATTATACATTTAAATGAATGTGCCAGTGTTTTAACCTGCAGAGTTTTAGCTTCGTATTTAAACAGCTACATGCGAGCTCGCTCTCCAGCCGACTCCAGGATCAGCCTGGTGCTACTCAGCATTCAGAGTTTTCAGTGTACTCCTTTCACCCATTCAGCACTTAATAGTTCCTTTGGCTGCAGAATAATCTCAGGCGGCTTAGAGGGTACCTTTCCATCCACACTATTACATGTTTTTTTGGCACTTTACTTTCAGACTTCCTGTTCTTCTTACACAGAGAACATCTCAGGCTCTTCACATGTGTCCAAATTATCCATCTATAAGACAATTTGCTGAAATTCTACTGAAAATCGCTCTCAGAGAACACGAACATAGCGGCTGCCACCTTCTGCTGCATGAGCTGTAAACAATCAGTTGACTTTTTAAGAATGGCGTTTATCTTTTTTGTGCCAATCAACTCTTCGGCTCTACAGATGTGTTTCTAGGTGCGGCGTGGTACGAGCCCTCACCTGTAGGAATGATGACAGACAGTGCGGTAGCAGAAGCTGATTTGATAACTTTGGTTCCTGGTTGTGAGCTGCGTTTTTCTCCTTCAGCTGAGAGCTGCTGGTGGCGAACCCGTCTTAGCACCAGGTCTGTAGCAGCCCCACGGGGACCCTGTGGGTCCTGGAGCCCCAGAACAGAAGCACTGCCTGGTAGAGGCAACGACGGATCCGCAGCAGGTCTCAGAAGCTTGTCTGTGACACAATAGAGACATGGAACAGTAAAGAAATGCTCCTGTTATAAACTGTGATCAGATACAGGTCTAACCAAGCCAAAGTGCTCAGTAATGTTGTGCTGCCTCATCCCTTCTTACCTCCAGGTGTGAGCCCGTTGCTGTCTTTAAGGTATGTCCTCAGGTCACCAGGGAGGACAGCGCACATGGCTCCTTCCAGGGATGCTCCCCTTGCCTTCACTGGAGGCTGCCTGCTGGAGACTGGCGGCTCAGAGTCAACCTCCAGAGGGGAGGCCAAGCGTGTATCCATAAGGGCGGAGAAGCGTCTTCGGGCCCCAGACAGTGGGCTGGAGTCGCTCTCGGTGAAGGAGGACTCTGAGTAGGACAAGCGCTTCCTGAAAAAGAGAGGAACATAAGACAGATCACATTCTCTGTGTTTGTTGTCCTGTCTCTTTGAACCACCACACCTGTTTTAAATTTATTTGACATGAAACCGTTAAACGGTTTCTCGGATGTTTTCTGTAGCCTGCACTCACATCTCAGGCGACCCAGTCCTCCAGCTCTTGTCCCTGAGGGTGACACTTCCCAGGCTTTCTCTCTTGGCTGCTCGATCCTCCCTGGGGACCTTGTGCTCCCGTAGAGTCACAGTGTGGGGTTTGTGCTCCAGCTGGGACAGATGCTCCATGCTGCTGTACACCTGAATGTCCACACAGGGATGTACTGTTATGTGGACTGATGAACAACACTGTCACTAGAGGACAGAAGAGAAGCTTCAAGTTGAACCTCAGGTCTGACCTTGCTGAAGCGAGGGGAGCAGGATGAGAAGCAATGTATCTCCACAGGCTCATCATCGTTGGTATCATCTTCATCATACGAGTGCACGTGATGGTAGCGCTCAGAGCGCGCTGGTGAGGAAGGACAGCGAGATATTGGATCTGTGGCCTGTGCAGAGAATCAAAGCTTCCAGCAGCAGACTTACTGTCAAAGTAACTGGTGTCTTCCTCTGACTCCAGGTGAGGGATGAACTCCGCCTTCTGTCTCAGCAGGCTGTTCCAGTCCACCGCTGTGAAGAACGAGTGCTGCTTCACTTCAAAAGCACCACCTGGAGGGTGTGGGAAGGGAAGGAGGGTGGTGGTGAGGAGCAAAGGCAGACAGTCCTAAAGCACGTACAGGCAGAAGTTGATTTATTTGGGTAAGCTGACGCCGTGGGCCTAAATGCAGTGGCTATGTCGGCAGTTACCAAGGGGAAAGAAAGACTGTACAGCTAATTTGACAAAAGTCATGGCTTCATTAGAAGATATACACTGACATAGTGAGTCAGCTGTAAACACCATGTGCTGGAGCTACAGCCAGCAAGTGAGCAGAGAAGTCGCAACAAATAGCAATAGTTACCTGAAAACAGTGGATAAACCGCTGAACTGGTTAACTAACAGGTCGTCGTATGAACAAATGACGGTAACACTAAGTTACTATCTGTAGAACAAACACAGGCTGAGGGGGGCAACTGACCTGTGCCCAGTCGAACCAGTGGGTTCCTCTGTAGGAGGGAGGAGATCAGATGCTGGGCGTCGACAGGCAAGGCCTCGTCCCCCTCTGGCCACACTATGTCGTCTGCAGCACCCAGCAGAGAGGGCGGGGGACAGACAAGACACGAAGTGAAGGACAATCCCAGTTTGGCTTATCCACTATGTGCCCGTCTCAAACAGTCGCGCCTCACCTGTGATGACCTGTCCGAACAGCTCCTCTGGGGTGTCTCCAAAGAAAGGCACACAGCCCACCAGGAACTCGTACAGGATGATGCCCATGGCCCACCAGTCCACTGGCTTGCCGTAACCTTGGCGAAGAATAACCTCCGGGGCGATGTACTCTGGAGTTCCACACACCTGCAGCGAGAACAGCAACACCTGGGTTGTTTAGTCGATTTTATGAAAAACACACAACCCTGTCCTGGTTACAGCTTTGTACGTTTGTACCAGCAACATTCCCGTCACATCCAATATATCGTCAGATAACTGTTTTCAAGGCTTTTGCTTCCAAAATCTCTCAGACTCACATTTAGATTATTCTAAAGCAGCAAGTGAAGAACTAAACATATGGACGGATTATGAGAAAAGTAAAAACACCCCCACCCCCACACCGCAGTCCCTTTGTGTCCATTATCCTCACGTTGTAGTTGGCTTGAGTCTGTCGGTGGTCATTTCGCAGCTATCTGTAGTCTTTTAACTGAACAAACAAGAAGTATTAACAGTCACTTCACACAGAGAGTCCGGCCCAGGGCCCCCTGACGTCTCGGGCCCCTGGGCCTGTGTCCGGTAGGCCTGGCTTGTAATTCATGGACAACACTGTTACCGTTGTGCACAAGCCCAAAAATAATATCACTACAATTAAAAGGTTACTGTCATAACCTCGGTCTCTTTTGAAAGTCAAGTCAAGTCTTCGTGGGACGACTGTGGTTCAGTGGGTAGAGCGGCCGTCTACCAACTGGAGGGTTGAAGGTTCGAATCTCGGTGCCTGCAGTTGTTTTTGGAATAATAAAGAATGTCAACTGGAAAGTGGAAACACTTTATAGCCACAGGTCTGAACCAGACCTGTGCTGATGACGGTGCCAGAAATGAGCTTTCTGCATCACTTAGAAAAATAAACAGTATCGAGAGACGTGTCCAACGCAGACTAACACACACCTAAACAAACTGCGCCGAGGCTGAAGTGTCCCGCTGGTGGGGCGCTGTATTTGAAACCTATCTAGCGGCAGAGTGGTGGACAGTTGCACCTGAGTGAGAGGCACAGAGAAAACATACAGATCACCCCAGTGACACCACGGTGGAAGCCCCACTGGGCGTTTCCATGTGCAGATGGAGATGCAGTGAATGCATGCACCAGAAATAAAGTGGTTTAGATTCAAAGCAGGACCACTGGAGAAAATAAACTGTAGCTGACAGAGAAGTGATTATAACAACTCAGGAAATACTGGCCCATTGTTGTGCCAACGGTCTGGGCTGTTGCTTGCTGCCTGGCACACAATGACAGGGAATATCTCTGCATACAAATGAAGACATCAGAGGAGGCTGCACATTTCAATTTGGCTTTGATCACAGTGTAGTTTAACAGTCAGTTTGCAGTGTAACAGTCTATATTGTATATGTGGCTATTTTAACAGCTAATTTCACTGTAGCTGCCACTTACATTTAGTTGAAAGTGCAGGCAAATAAAAAACTCTTCAATAAATTATCTATCGCCATTTTTATTTTAAACAGCTGTTTTTACTCTTCACATCCTCTGCCTTATTATCAACTCGTCAGGCACTTTGAACTGCATGAACCTGTACAATCTCACTGACTGAGGACACAGTACAACAGTAATCTGGTACCTGTTTATCCAAGAACTCCCGAGTGTCCTTCTCTATGTGTCCTTCATAGAGGTTGGTGGTCAGACTCATGAGCCCCATCCTCGACAGGCCGAAGTCAGTCAGCTTGATGTGACCCATGGAGGTAATCAGGAGGCTGAGAAGACAAATGGCAACGTTCAGCCACAGCTGGTCCCATTTCTATGGACCATTCTGATGAGAACACAGTTCATCTTACTTGTCAGGCTTGAGATCACGGTGCACAATGCCATAGTTGTGCAAGTACTCCAGCGCTAGCACAGTCTCTGCAAAGTACATGCGTGTCATTTCCACCGGCAGGGGCCCGATGTTCTTCAGCAGGGTGGCACAGTCTCCTCCTGACAGCACAGTTCATTACTCTGTTAGTCCTGCTGCTGACATTAGCAATTACCATGACCGTCTCCTGTCTCCCAACAGCCCTCCCAGATCATTTTAGTTCCCAAAAGAGAACAATCATGCAATCTCTGTGACCGCATTTCTGTTCTGCACAGCACATGCACGGATATCTGGCACAGTAGTATTTCACTTTCACTGGGCATTCAGAGTGCATCTCTCACTGCCTGTGGAACGGCTCAGACCACTCAGTTGCCTATAAGGACAAGCCACTGGGAAGAGAACAGCACAATGGGATTTTAGCCATGTTAGCAGAACAGCTCTAGGACCAGCCGTGTCGCGCCACCTCTCCTGACTCAGATATCTCTATAATTATCAGATGAACCCTGGTGAAGACATTCATGTTCCTGTCACTTTGGTGTTCCCTGGTCATCTAACACCAGCATCAGGTCACATTTAATGTGTTACAATACTTTGGTTCTTGACAAAATACCTGCAAAGCTAAAGACACTACAGTAAACGTTACATCCCAAAGCTGGAGAGTAGACAGAGGCAAAGGGTGAGGTTAGGGTCAAGGTTCAGTTCAGATTAAGGTAAGAGGAAGCATACACAGTATGCACAGTAAACAGACTTCAATTCCCCTAGAATCTACTCCTCAAGCTTAGGATCTAATGCTAACCATTCCCATACCCATGAAACTCTGATTGTTTTTAGCATTAATTAGCATATTTAGGATCCTAACATGCTTTACTGAGCAGATAATAAACATGAAACATTTCGGTGTAGTACCGCCAATGTCAAGCTGTAGCACATGTGCAGAGCTGCTATCTAACAACCAGCAGGCCACTCCAGCAACGCTCTCACCTTCTACGTACTCCATGACCATGCAGAGGTGCCGACGGGTTTCGAAGGAGCAGAACATGGAGACGACAAAGGGATTCTCAGCGAAGGTGAGGATGTCTCTCTCTACAAAGGCCTGCTGGACCTGGTTCCTCAGGATCAGGTTCTGCTTGTTAATCTTCTTCATGGCAAAACGCTGCCGTGTCTCCAGATGCCGGACCAGGTACACAGCACTGACCCAGGCGCAGACATACACACATTATTTTCAGTGTATGACTGTTGTGCTGTTTGTAAAAATCGTTTGTCTAGATGTGAACATGAATCACACGCATTCTCATTAACAACAAGAAACACTGCGCCTCCATGTCTTATCAAACAGCTTTGATACAGTTGATCACTCTTTACTCTGGAACGGAGACCTGATTGTCAGGCTGATCTCAGGGTGTGCTGTCCAGACCCACTGTGGGTGAAGGGGCAAATACAGTGTAAATAAGGAGTAATAGGAATAATGTGCCATTTCAGTTAGAAGTCACAGAACGCCTCAGGAACATTCACAGCAACCGTCGTCTTCCTGTTGGTGACAGTGCTGCTTTCATTCATGTCGTCTGATTTCCCTGGGATTTATTCAACTGTAAACAAGGTGCTGCTTTGAAAGAGCATGTATGGTGAGTCAGCCTAGCCTCCATACATAAAGTTCATCAATTAGCAGAGGACTTCCTTGATGTCCTACTCACCCGTATGCTCCATTACTGATCAGCTTGATGGTCTGAAAGTCTGCTTCTCCTGGTGGTTTCATCGCTTTAATCTTACCCTGTGGATCAAAGATCACAACACTGTGAATAAATATGATCCAGGGTCAAAACAAACTCACTGCTAAACCAACGCCACTGCTCCAAACGGCTGGTTCTGCACACTAAGACATGTTTATTATCTCACATATCATCCGTACTACAACACTGCATCACTTCACAGGTTTACTGCAGCACAGAACTGATTCAGAGCCCTTCACTGTGTTGTCAGTGTCATTTTAATAGATAAAACTGCCTTTTTGCACATCAATCGACACTCAATACTCCATAATCACAAAGTTAAATCATGATTTTAGATAGTTTTTTTGCAAATGTATTAATCAAAAACTGAAATCTCTTATTTTGCAATTTTATCCATTTAAAATTTAAGCTACAACACATTAAAGTGTGCAACCAGTGAAGAGGACCGAATGCTGCAGGCATGGTGATTCAACAAGCCGAGGATCCAGCGTAAAACAGCTGAATTAGATTGACAGAAGAATGGCCGAGCAGAGCGGCCGGGACCTTATACGCTCCCTCTGTGCAGCCAGAACAGAGTGGCTGAACGTGGGGACGGAGCGAGCGCCAGTTTGGATCCTACCTCTGTTGAGTCGTCTGTTTCTGGTGTCAGCGGTCCCTCGCTGTCGTAACTGTCGAGGTTCACCATCTCTGCTGACAGACAGAGCATCAGCTGGACTCAGCTCAAAGTTCATTCATTTCCTATTAAGTGAAATCAGCTTGTTGTTGCTCACCTTCAATAGGGTCCCTGGTTAGCCCCAGCTGGCTGATGATGTATCGAGGAATGTCCGTTTTCATCAGGTGACCCTCCTTGGCGTGGTCCTCTGCTGCTTCCAGTAAATGGTAAAACTCCTCAGGGTTAAACTCCTGGAAACCAAAGCGTTAGCCTTGAACAATCCAACATTAACATCTGCATTTGAAAAAAACTGGCACAAAACCCTTTGCAGAATGAGGTGGGGATGACAGCAACAGTGACATGTGCTAGAACCATGAACCCCAGTCTGGCCCTCGCCCCTGAAATAGTAGCTTGTGCCCCTACTACAGGTTGTTTGTGTGAAAACATCTCCTCAACCAAACTGAATTTATGTGCTTACAAATCGCACGCTCAGAGCTGTGGCACAGATACAGCTCCACAATGCAGGTTGAGCCTGAACCTTGGCTGCACCGAGGAGATCGTCCTCTGGACGCACACTGAAGCCCACATGTTACTAAAGTAGCTCCTGGCTGCTGACCCAGATCTGGTTACCAACGATGCCAAAAAACATGCAACGAATCCCACCCACTGTAACGCAAACGCCGCCGTATGTAGATAATCAGGGTGAAATTAGATGAGTCAGTTCTCCACGTCCCTGTTTCAGGTGCACACCAGGACGACTCATGTGGGACGGCTGTGGCTCAGGACTTAGGGCGGGTCATCTCCTGGAGGATTAGCGGGTCGATTCCTGGCTTGTCCAGTCCGCATGTCGAAGTGTCCTTGAGCAAGACACTGAACACCCAGTTGCTCCCAGTGACGTCACCAGTGTGAGAGTGTGAACAGCCAAATAGTGTGAAAGTGCTTTGTGCATGCTGCGATGCATAGAAAAGCACTGGACAAGTATAAGACCATTTACCATCAACTGCAACACGAGAGTGATACTCTGGCCTGCCCACACAAACACACACTCCGTTACATCCTCCAACTCTAAATGACACCTCGGTCTGTCTGAGTCCGACCAGAGGGCGGCCGGGCAGCGGGGGCCACCGCCTGCTATCAGTCGTACTGTGGCAGGCAGATTTTAATCTAAATGCAAATGACTTCCAGACAAACTGGACAAGCTCTTAGGCTCCAGTGTGTGCTTGCTTTGATTGTCTGCCCCTGCTGTGTAATACACCAGAGTGCTTAAATGCTCATGATCGGCTAATGAGTATCTGTGCACGTGTATTAGAAGAAAATCACTTTGTCTCTGTGAAATCTCCCGTAATGTAATGCAGTACAGATGGGCGGATGATACTGAGGCTCTGAAGCCGGTTTGGCTCTAGTGAAACGCACCGTGTCGACTCACTGGGCTCTGTTCACCTGCCGACACGAAGTCTCAAAAGGTTTCTGCAGTGTTTCTTAGACACAAAACTGTTTCTTTAGCTGTTTTCCTGCAGCCACACTGAGGTGGTAGGAAAGGTGCAGCTGAGGCCGGGATTACGCCGATGAAGCACCACAGCAGAATTTGGGAGGTTATTTTTAACCAAATACAGCAGAACTAGTGGATTCAGCTGGAATTCACTGTGGATCATTTACACTAAAACCACCTGAACTATGAAACGTGGGTGAGAATTTAAACGGAGTATTTTTGTATACAATACATATGCTAGTCCTCAGTACGTGGCTGTAGAAATGAACAAACTGGGCCGGCGTGCATCAGGACGCCCTGTGCCCTAAAAACCGCTGAGGTGTTAAAGAGCTGCTGCAGGTTGTACAAACCAACGGGGGTCACTGTGCTGGTTTGTTTGATGCTTTGAATCCTTAGTCAGTACAAACAGAACAAAAATGCACAAGGCTTCAAAAGGTGTGTGTGCTTTCTTACCAGACACTCGAGCAGCCGGGCAGGTCGGGAGATGATGAAGAGGAGCTTTTTCACCAACTCTGTGACAAAGGCGACTTCAGCGCTCTCCGAACGCTCAAAGGCCTGAGAGAGCGAAACAGACAGAGAGGAAGGGAAAAGGTGTTGTAAAACATTTCATCATATGGAAAAACAACAAACTAGTGTTCATACAGCAGTAAGATATGAAAACATGATGTTGGAAAACAACAGATTCAATCAAACCCAAAGCAGGCGATCGACTCAAGTTGTCAGGATGGGGTTAGTGATGAAAATGCCTGATCAGCCTCCACTTACCAAACCATTTCAGCTTTGTCTCTAGTAACAAGGTTGATGAAGCCACTGAGGCAAAGCAGCAATGATGTGGGGCCACAAAACAGTTAAACGGATTAAAGGTGCTATGCTAATTAGGGTTGGCTACTAGTGCAGATGCAAAATGTGAGTTTAAGTACTGATTAGGCATTATATTTTTTCATATCTTACTTTGATAATAAGTTTTGTTTCAAAACCTTTTTTTTTAACACAGGAAGTAAATGTTCTCATTTGTACAATAACTTCACCTAAATAAAAGCCTAAACTGGGAAACATTTAGATTGAATTGAGGAATTAGTGCTAATACACAGGTAAACAAAACTGTAAAGCAGCCCAGAGACACAACATCGGTTTTCCACACTCGGGGAGTCAGACACCGATGTTACCAAACAGCCTGGAGGTTCGGCACCCAGCCCTGATGCAGATGCAATCACAGCTTTTCATTACATGACTCACATTGTGAAGCAGCTCCTCCAGATTCCCCTGCAGCTCGAAGAAGTAGATGGAGGTGATGAGGCCCTCGCGGGCTTTGGCCAGGCAGTCTCTAGACAGCTCAGCGATCTGGTGGTGGATGAAGCTGAGGACTCCGTCAGCCAGTGGAAGAACATTTTCAGGAGAGAAAGCTTGGATGAACTCAGCCAGCCTCCCCTCCATCTGAGCTGTGGCCTGGTGGAGGGCAAAGGGCGGTGAGAGGACAAAGAGAGAAGAAGAAGAAAATGGTGAGAATAGAGAACAAAGGTTTGTGACAGGAAGTTGAAAAACCTGTGTCATCCAAAAACAGAAAGACAACTCCAAACCATCAGGTCCAACGTCTTAAGCCTTGTGTAGGAAAGCTGCCTCCATCCTCAAGGACCCCACCCACCCCCAGCACAGACTGTTCATACCCCTACCCTCCGGTCGGAGGCTCAGGAGTGTGAAATACAGGACCTCCAGACTGAAAACTCTTTCTTTCTCTCAGCCATCAGACTCCTAAACAGCTGACTCAGGATCTACCTCATGTAATTCCATCTTTTCACATGTACAGTTGCACAATCACTGCTGAGTATTTACACTCCACAGCTCCCACGTAGCATATATTCTCTCTGCATTATATTGTGTTGTATTTTTATTGTGCTTCCTTCACCTACTTCTTTAAAGTGCCTTAGATTTGTGTTATTGCTCATCTACTTTATATTTCACTTGTATTTTGTGGCATTCATGTGGACGGCAAAGTAAGAATTTCATTGTACAGAGAAACACGTTTCCTAACTGTGCATATGACAAATAAACACTTTGAGCTTTGATTTTTATCATTAAAGAATCGTTCAGCCAGCCTCTTTTTGGCATCAACCTCAGTCCAGCAAATAGGTTAAAAGAGAAAAATGAGGCAAACACAGATCTTGTCTTTAAACTGAACAGTTCAGAGCTGTGGCGGCGTCAGAGTGTGTGTCAGGGCGAACGTGTCGGGGTGATGCTACGGTTTAGCTTCACTGTGTTTGGATGCAGACCTTCATGCACACAGATCTCAAACACACTCAGTCATAAACTATTTTTCTGGTGCTTGACTGGACAGAATCAGATTTAAGACTCTGCAGGCTTAAAGATTCGCTTACTGTGTGTTTGTGGACTACAGAAGCGGCCTCTGTGTGACTATGTCCTACCTTAGGAAAACGCTCCTTCCACACATGGTTCATCATGACTATCTCATTATCATAGCAGGATGAGGAGCGTCCAGGGCTGAGGGGAGAAACAGGAAGTAATGAAATACAGGTAAGAAGAAAACGGTTCTGTCTGTGTAAGGTTCACCAACATTACCTCACATAACTTTCTGTGTGTAAAACGTATGGAAAAGTTACATCTAGATCTACAACTGGGAAATTCAGGGGAGGTTATATAGGATCAACCAGGGGCCTGCCCTGGAAATCTGCTTTCAAAGGGTCATTTTAAAAAGAACATGGCGCTTCTGGGCTGCTGCCAACCTGAGACTGCGGGAGCGTGGGCGCAGGTGGGGAGAGCAGCGGCCTCCGTCGTCATCCGTGATGCTCTCAGTGCTGCCAAAGTGCTTGGATAAGAAGTGGAGCTCGTCCATGGTGGGCTGGAAGGGCAGCTGGTGCAGGCGCTCCTGAGACGAGCTGGAGGACTGCAGCGAGGCGGGAGGAAGAGGAGGATGAGGAGGGGGTGGGAATGAGGAGGGAACAGGAGGAAAGTTTTTAGATGAGGAAGGAAATGGAGACATTTTAATGGGTGGTGAAAGAGCTGGACAGTTCACAAGGAATAAGAGACAGAAGTAAACGATGCCCGGCATCCTCATGCTGACCGATCTGATTCTACATAAGAATTATAAATGAAGTTAATTTGATTTAGTTTCAGTCTTGGTCTTCTGGCAAAGATGCACATAAGCTTTAGTCAAATTAAAGTCTTGATTTTTGTTACTTTTAGTCTAGTTGTCATCAATTTTATCCTGAAATTGTAATGTTTATACCATCTAAGAATTTAGGGGCTCCAGCTGTTGCCATCTTTGTACAGTTACCATGGTTACAGCTGTGCATCTGTCCCTGTGCTCGGCAGAAGCGGATTCAGTCCCGTTCGGACTACAAGCCTGTTCACTGGTTTGGCCTGAGAGAAGAAGCTGAACCGTGGGAGAACACGAATGCGGTGAGATTTGTTTGTCCGACATCCAGGAGAAGGGTCGACTGTCCGCGTCCATCCTGGAACTGACTGATTCCTGGTGAGAGCAACACACAGACGGACAAAGACAAACGTCTGCTTGGGAGTGGTGTAATTTACCGTTGAGCTGGGCGTGTTCGTGCCATATCCAGAAGAGGGCAAAGATGCCAGCGACCATCGCCGCCCGTCTCTGCAGAGAGCACACACATGACGTCATGTAAAAGCCACTGTGATGCAGAAATGGTAGAACAGAATAAACGAAGAAGTAGAAATAGATCATTTTAGGCTGGTTTGGATTTACAGATAGTGACAAATGAAAGGAAAACCCTGAATAAGTACAAACTGCAGGGGTCACTGATTAATCCGCCGATTGTTGTCTTGATGATCTGATTGGTCTTTCTATTGACAGAATGCCGAACACCGTCAATGTCAAACATGCTCCTGCTGTGACTGTGCAGAGTCTAAAGGTGGTGATTTTGCTATTAAGAGGCTAAAAAACGCTGAGCTGAAATAAATCACTTCCCCCCAGTGTGAGACAAAACCCTGACAACCTGTTCTCGTGTACTGCTGCAGCTCAACACATCTCAGTTTCAGCTGAACTATAAAAATTCATTCAGCTGTGACTTATAATAACTTCTAGGAACCACAGACCCATCCACTGCGCTTCTGTGTGTCTCGGCCGCACAGACATTGGCGGGCAGATGTGTCTGATAAATGACGACAGAGGGTTTTTACAGGAGCGTGACTGAGGGAGGCTACATATGATCTGTTGGCCCTGCTCACACACACGTTAGACTGAAGTCTTGTGTTGTTAACATGTCCATACCAATGTCCACTAGAAGCACTAGAGGACACACTAAAGGTGCAAAACCTGATGTAAAGGTGACATTTCTGTTTTCTGTATTACTGTGAGGAAGGTCATAGCTTCCTCATCACACACATCTGCTTCGGTCTGCCGCCGTTTGTTGTTTCCCGCTCTTCACTGACATATAAGTCACATGATTCATGCACGTCTGGATTGACGTTACACTTTGTCACACTTTGTGATTTTGTTGTTTTTGTTTCCACGGCACAAAAGGAAAACGTATAAAAGCTGGTGGATGAAAACACAACACACACATTTATACAGCATTAACTTTTCCCTTCAGCAGAATCGGGGACCTTAGTTTAAAGTATCTGGTCAGACTTTAGTCCATCCATGAATGGATCAACGTGCATATCTGCTTTATATGAACCGAGATGGAACCATATTCATACGAACACCCGTCCACGCTCGTCACTAGAACGACGTGAGTAAACACTGTGAACGTCTCCGCCCTGTCACGCAGGTCGGCATGGTGCGCCGCGAGAGGCTCCCTGCTCCCCAGGATGTGCGTCTCCTCGCACAGCAACAGGGCCGCACCTGCTGTTCTCCTGTCAGTCTCCCTTCCTGTCCTCTCTGTCAGTCTCCCTTCCTGTCCTCTCAGCTCAGGTTGTTTCAGTCACACTGATGAAGAGCTCAAACTAACTTCACCCCCCATCTGCAGGTGACAGGATACATGCAGAGCACAATCACACTCAATATATGTAGTGATATAAAGCACTGACCTTCTGGAAGAGACAAAGGAGAAGTGCGCCGGGTTGCTGGGGGAGAAGTTTCGTGGGCTGTCCAGAGGGCTGCTTCCTGGAGGGGCAACAAGAGACACGAGTGAGAGGTACAACAGTGCAAAAGGAAGGTGTGACAATGAGTAATACATGATGGACACACACACACACACACACAGTTTATGTTTCGTAGTCCATGGGGACTTTACATTGACTTACATGCATTTCCTGTAGACTAACCCTAACCACTACTTGCCTAACCCTAACCAGGACCCTAACCTCAGCCTAAACCATGTTGCCACCCATGGGGACCTCAATTTAGGTCCCCACCGTGAAATGGGTCCTCATGAGTTGGTATGGAGTCAGGAAGAAGTCCCCACGTAGCAGGGAAAACACGTCCACACACACGAATGAGCCCAACACTGGTGATATGCGCCTCCAGGTGTTGAGTCCAAACCAAATTATTACAACCTGCTGGCACAGAGACTCGGCCCAGTTGACAGCTCCCTTTGCAAACTTCTTAACTACATACAGAAACAACAAGCGTGTTTCCTGCTGTGTGTACAGGGAGCAGCCTGCAGAGGTGTGAGTCTCTGTGCAAACTGATCGTAACAATGACTAACTAGTCTTAGTGAAGAGCAGGCCGACGCTCTGTCTGCAGGGGGATGTGTTCAAATACACTCATAAAGATCAGTAATGAGAAAAGCATGAGCACTACTGACGATATTCACAATCCAGTCATTTCCAAACTCCGGACCTTCAGAGCTTAAGTGTGATGTGTTGCTGTACGTACCGAGGTGTCCGGGGAGGGGCAGGGGGGAGTGTGGGCGAGGCAGCGTCGGAGAGGTGGTGGTCAGAATCAGGCTCTTCCTGTTGCTTGTACGACAGCTGCAGAGAGAGAAACGTAGAAACGAGAGGAGGCTGCAGCTACTGTGTCTAAGTTGTGTTTGTGCATCCAGCTGCATGTCCAGGTGCACAAGAAGCAGGCAAATGCATGGCTCACTGCAGGAGCACACCAGTGACAGAGAGGATTCACTTTCCTCAGGCATCCATCCCTGTCTGCCTCTTCTCAGCCCAGGTTAGAGAAGAAACAGCGGTGAAGTTAGAGAATTAGAAGTGACAGACATGAGAAAGAATCATGAAAATAATGGACCAGAAAAACCATCAGCTGGTCCATGACCTGAGTTCACTGTGTCTGGGGTCCTAGAAGTGTTCACTCTGCCTGTGGGCTCTGCACAGGAGACCACCGAGCCACCAGCCAGTGAACTAAGCACCTATTATATTTAACAGACGTAATCATTTCTGTCAGTGGTGCACTTTGCTCAAAGGCCTTTCAAACATTGGTGACACGGTGTGATCAGGTTTGTGAGGCGTGCGAGGCAGATGATTAAACAACTGGCACAAAGAGAACAACGCAGCATCATCTCATCTGTCCTGACTGATCAAACCAATAACCGACCTTATGGATATTGATCACATATGCCAGTAGGTTGGATTTAACACACGGGTCGGATAACTGCTGCTGAATCGTTTCACCTTCAGCTTTTTCTCTACAGCTGCAATAACCTCAGTGCAACACAGCTGATCCCAGTAACACTGACCAATCAGTGAATGTGCACGTGTGTGTATACTGTTTGTGTGGGTCCCAACATGTACTTCAGCTTCACTGGCTGCTGTTGCTTCAATAACTGCTCCTCCAGAGAGTAAAACAAAGACCTGAGCAGCTGGACTATTCTTGGTAAATGGATTCTGAGTGCTGCAGGAAATCAATGGCAGCTGTAAACACAAAAACACAGCGCTCAGCCTTGAATGTCACTGCAGCCCCAGAGGAAAGCGATGTCACTACGCAGCACTATGCATAAACATGCAGACACTAACAGCCAGGAGTGCACGTTTGGAAGCAAAGCCCGGGGCCCGTTTCTCTCTCGATGGTCATTCAGGATCGAGAGGGGAGGGAGAGATATGCACACTGCACTCAGTAAATCAGGGCTGTGTTGGCTGCTGCCTCCTCCTGGAGAGAGGGATGAAGGTAGGGAGGATGAGGATGGAGATGCACAGGGAGATAAAGGCACGAGCCGGTACAGGAGGGACACCAAAGCAAGATATGGGCAAATATAGTGGAAAAACACTTGAGAAGCAAAAGAGAAACATAAGAATAGAGCTGCAGGTTGAAAGTTGTCCCAGTGCCGCTCCTCACCCATGACCCAGCCGACCTCACTGCACAAACCAGGCAGAGACATTCAGGGGGAATACGTTTCCACTATGGGAACCTAGCGAGCCGTGCACCCCGTACGTCCCTTAAAAAAACCCACCGAGCGCAGCCTCCGGGGTCGAGGCCGACCGTCCTGTTTGTTTCTCCACTGTATTTTCTGTCTGTTCAGAGGAGGGAGGGGCTACCCCACACACACACACACAGTCAGCTGTGTGTTGTTCGGAGCAAAACGCAGAGGCGGACAGTCTGGGTTGGTAACCTCTGCAGCATGAGGACAGCGGAGCATTGCAGTGGTTCCTGCCTCGGTTCCACCCTGTGCTCACCCTGTCTGCATGGCCATGTGGAGGGTTCGCCAGCTGGTCATTTGTGTGTCTGTTACTCTGCAGTGTGACTCCAGACTCCAGCACTGTCCGACTGACCGCTCCTCACAGGTTTTGGCCTCCAAATACATGTGCGAGTTCTGTGGGATTATTTTTAATAGGATAAGAAATAAGATGCCCAACGTCAGACAAACTGCACACAAGCCTCTTTCACTGTGCACACGTCTGCCACAAAGTGTAACAGTGCAAAGGACAAACTGGAGCACTTTACTCCAAAAACAAAAACCCAATGAGGTGCAGTTGACGTCTACAACCCTGGAGGGAAATGTGCAGTCGTGGTCACGTGACGACTTGTTGCTACACAGCGTGCGACAGGGAGGCTGATATCACCGACCAGGGACCAGATGGAAGAGAGACACTGCTCGTTACTGGAGTCTCTCGAGTTCACGGTTCGAAGACGAAGAGAGAGGAAAAGGGCAGATGTGCAATAAATGATTTTTAAAGATGTCCAACAAATCAGCTGGCAGGTAAAGGAGTGGAGAAGTAAGAAAAAGTCATTTAACAGCCAAAATGCCACATCTTTCATTGAAGTGTGCGTCCTGAAAATGTGTTTCACAAAGGTGTTGGTTCCCCTGTGTGCCCACTGTGGAGGCTGCACATTCTACTGTGTTATACTGACACCTATTATTTTGTCCACCCTGCTTAGGCTGAATAAAAGAAAGTGTATGCACAGAGCTGGTGTGCGTGCCCGACTTGCTGACGTAACCTTTGTGAGCCGGTCCCTAATGGAGACACAGATATGACCCCAGGGCCCTGCGCCGCCTCCTTTCACAGCGCCTGTCTCCTCGGCTTTTGTCCTCTTTTCACTCCTTCTCTTCATCTTCTCTCCTTCCTGGTTTCAACTTCGCTTCCTCGTCTTGTCTTAGCAGATGAGAAATAGGCGTTGTAATAACTGGAGAGAAATCTAAGGTGGTCCTGAGAGCTCAGCACACTGCAGTGGAAACACTAAAAGCTCAACCAAACAGTGAACCCCCCCCTCCCCGCACTGCGGAAGCGTCTGATCGCCTCCTCAGGATCTGTGCACCACCGTGCAAGTGTAGCAGTGTGAAAAAGGCGAGGCCGCTGCAGTGGCTCCATCTGTGTGTCTGAGTGTCAGGTGTGACAGGAGCCGGTTTAGTCCGATCAGCCGGGGAGAAGAGGAAACGTCCGGCGCTCCGACGCCAGCTCACACGTTCAGGCTGATTTAAAACACCAGTTAAAGGCACAAAGAAAACCAGTGCTCACATTACTAATGTGAGAAGAGTGGTGCAGCTCCCACTCATCAGAATGTCACCTAGTGTGACAGTGTCTTGGTACACACAGACCCAATCAATGTAAAAGCACTGATTGATAGCTGATTACATTTTAACTGATCAGAAAGCGCTGCTCCATTCGAAATATTTTGTCATCTGATCGATTAGCTAATTCCTCAGTGATTGATGACTTACTCGTAAAACTGGGTTAGTTGCTCAACCTTGATTTGTCAAATGATTCTTGCTCTGATTAATATTCCTTACTGATAGTTCATCTTCAGCGATTTATATATATGGACTGATTGATTTATTGGTTTTTGCTTACTCAGCTGGTTTCTCAGCTCGCTGATGATTTATCTGCTGGGGTTTTTGGTATCAGGAGCAAGCTGTAATTCCCTCAGTTGGCTATTGGTCCCCTCAGGGGAAGCGAAACCTTCTTGATTCCTACGGGGCCAGTCTCCTTCCATCCTCTGTGACACACAGTATAGATACCGGCTTTCATCAAACTCGATTTGACAGTTCTAGGTGAAAGGTTATCCAATCAGAAGCTTTGTATTCAACACCACCCTGGTCGTAATCCTCCTTCTTTTTACCCGCTCCTTTAGATTCACCTACTCGAAGGTGTAGGCCTAAAGCAAGACGTAGATGTGGATGTTCTTCGGGTGGAGACATAGCCCGGTTCATAGCGGACGCTAGGTGCCCCTCCAACGTTACGCTCCAGCTGCTGGGCAGGTTAATGTGTGAGTCTTTTCAAGTGATGAGCGACATTCTGGCTTGTTACAACCGAGATGGTGTGATTAAAAAGTAAGCTTACTAATGATTTGAGTAATTTCTCTGTGTTAGAGGGTGCATTAAGGATAATGTCAGCCTGGAATGTAAACTCAGCTCATTTTGATCTGTTAGATGACTTGATTAATAACTTGGTGATAAATAATTCATCAGAAAACCACCCGTTACCTCCACTACCGGTTAATCCTTCAGATTTTGATCTATTAGAATTCTCAGTAAACAGCCTCCTGTATAGAATACGTGAGCAGAGAGATGGGTTTTTTCAGCGAAAGTCAAAATAGCCCTTCACAAAGCGTTGAAAACAGTCCAATCAGTCACTATTCAGAAAACCAGCAAAATACACCACCGCGAGACAGACTCGTAAACGCAGCTCATTTTGATCAATTAGACGCGTTAATAAACGGATTACTGATAAACACTAGCCCACAAAGCAACTCAGGCAATTCGCCAAATACAGCCTCAGATTACAATTACAGGGATCCGACACAAGATGGAGGTTACGATTCACCAGATACTTCACCTCTACACCAGGCAAGCGCCTCTGATTTTGACTTATTAGAAGAGGCTGTAAACAATCTGCTGGACCGAATACACTCATCTCAACACCAGACAGGTTCGGGCTCCCACGATAACGCTCACAATGAACAAGAGAATCAGCCAGAAAACGATCAACAGCCTTCCCCCTCCTCTTCCTCACCAGAGCAAGTCGCGCGTGAACCTGATCAAACACCGGCTGAAACAACGACCATGACTAGAGCGAGATTCAACAACTTTGAAATAAGACGCTTGTTAAATATCGATCAAGAGCCTGAAGTAAATTATGGAAATATTAAACGGTAATGTCATGGGGTCTGTCTCCGACCTGGTCCAACAAGACAGGTGTAACCCGGGAGATCTTCTCCAGCTTGAATTAAGGGGGGATGTGCTTCGGAGAAACGTCTCTGTAACTGCCGAAGCCTCAGATGGCATCGATCTGACGCAATTCCAAGATCTGTTAGACCAGGCAATACAATCCACTTGGGGGCGGGACAAAGCTTCTGATTGGATAACCTTTCACCTAGAACTGTCAAATCGAGTTTGATGGAAGCTGGTATCTATACTGTGTGTTCTGTGCTTCACAATGAATTCAAAATTCATGTCCAAATATAACTAGCTGGGTATAAACATCCCCAAAAAACTGAACATCCAGCTTCAGAAATGCATCGGTGTCTCCAGAACCATCCATCTGAAACTTGTGCTTCTGTCTGACTCATCTTTGGCTCATGCCAACTTCAGACAGTGAATCAGTCGACCAGCTGCTCTGCAGGAAATGTCACTGATGAGTCGATGACACACCTTTGCTATACCCTAATGTTATACGCACACAAATCGAGGTGAACAGAACCACAACCAGGGCCAGAGATATGAGGTTCTTACTAACTTCCCCATCAAACATCCATATGTTGCTCAGTTTTTTGCTTCTTTCCTTGTGGAGCTACAAAGTGATCCAACAGCACTGGGTCGCTGCTCCCCATCTCTGCTACAGGCTACATTAGCTGCTGCTAACGCAGTGAACGCAGCCCAGGTGCAAAGACATGTTTCTGGTTCTGCTGCATCAGTTTTGATACTTAAAAGAAAAACTGTCCATCATGCGACAGTCTTACAGGAGTGCAGTGTCAAATTGGTGGAGTGCTCCTTTAAGAGACTGATAAAACTATGACAGTTCATCCTGAGAGGACACGAATGTCTCTACCAAACTTCATCTGATAATTAGAGACATTTCACTCAAAAATGCAAACATGAACCTCACACTTGGAGGAAAACCGAAAACGGAATCTCCCGAGTCATCGGGGTGCATCTCCTGGAAACCATGAACATGATATCATCTGACAGTTGTTGAGTTATCTCAGTGGTGGCGCCACCGACACTGCCATCCACAGAACCGAGCTGCTAGAGTGGCTAAAAGGTGATCACACACACGCCTGTCACTTGAAAACAGATACGGTGCAGCTGGTTCAGATGCATGCAGCTCAGTAGCACAGTGTGGTGCAGCCAGATTTTCCACACTCTGCTTGGACTTTAAAAACTGAGCTCCACCCAAGCAGACAGTAACGGTGCTCTGTGCGCCAGCAGCCAAGAAACAACACAGCAGAAATGTACAAACCAGTTAGAGACACAGGCACCTTCACCAACATGAACCAACAGCCCAGTCACACTTTGAACACAAGCCTCTGTATAACGTCAGACTGCAGACACTGTCGACTCACACACAAAGAGCTGAGCATCAGCCACTAAATGAAGGAAAATGATCAGAGGCACAGAGAAAGGAGCCTGAACCAAAGCCAGTCCTACCGCACCCCACATCCCGCTTTACCTTTTAGTGCGTCGAAACATGCTGCTGGCTGGGGTCTGGGTGTAGCTCTGAGCAGCAGCTGTGCGACGAGGGAGAGCAGTCAGAGAGCAGCAGGTTTCTGAGGAAATGTCATCGCAATGCAACACATACTGTAGCTCTCACAACCTTTAGATGAGCACTGACATCCGTGTGTGTGCAAGTGTGGCCGAGCTTCAAAGGAGAGAGAGAGAGGCAGAGAGGGAGGGGTGGAGGGAGGTGGGGTGGCTCGGCGTTTCAGACAGGAGAAGCACAAAGCAGCAGGGGATTGTGGGTCATTTTCTCAAGGCTACGGCGGTGAAGTACACCGGGGAGCTTTGTGACTTATTGAGTTGTGTGGCGTGCACTGGGACCAGTGGATGTGGAGTCAGAGCC